GGCCTCTCCCGTTGCGGAGCACAGGCTCCGGACGCACAGGCTCAGCGGCCATGGCTCACGGGCCCAGCCGCTCCGTGGCATGTGGGATCTTCCCGGACCGGGGCACGAACCCGTGTCCCCTGCATCGGCAGGTGGACTCTCAACCACTACGCCACCAGGGAAGCTCCCATCCCCCCTTTTGATGGCCTGTGGAGTCCTATATGACCTGACTCATCTGTATCCCCCAACTTCTCTCATTCCCCTCTTCCCTTTGTTCACTACACTGACCTCTTTCGACTCCTGGAAGAGGCCATGCATGTTCTTTTCTGCCTCAGAACCTTCACACATGCTGGCTCCTCTGCCTGGAATACTGTTCTCCCCGTGGGATGCCTTCTCGCCTCTCAGATCTTAGCTCTGCTAACACTTCCTTGTGGGCTCTCATCTGCGTGGGTTATTCTTTGTTACGGCATAATTGAGTGAAGTACTCCCTTCAGAGCACTTAGCTCAATTATCGCAACATATAGTTGTTTGTTTCTGTGCCTAACGACTGTAAGCTCCCTGAGGGTAAGGACTGTATCAGTTCTGTGCACAATTGTATATCCATGACCCTGTACAGTGCCTGGCCTTTAGTATATGCTTAGTAAGTATTTGTTGAATGAAAACCATACTGCTTCAACTGGGAACTCCCTTATCTTTCCAATACCAGATCCACATAGTATCTCTGTAATCTTCTGAAAGCTTCTCTGGACTTCCCATACCCATTGAGGTACACCTGTCTCTCTGCTGCTGTTCAGAGCCAGACTTAAGAGCGTCTTCTGCGTGTGCTGTCTCCTTCCTCACCACTAAATTCACTCTTTAGCCCACTTCATCTGGCCTCCAACCCCATTGCTCAACTGAAACTGTTCTGGTTAAGGTCACCATCCTATTATGCCAAGTCCAAAGGATGGTTTTCTCTCCTCAACTTTCCTCACTTATAGTGAATTTCAGCACAGCTGTTTCCTCCTCCTGGAAACATTCTTTTCTCTTGGCCTCCATTCCATTATGCCTCCCTGCTTAGCCCTGGACCTTTATCTTTGCTCTCGCACATGTACTATTGAGGTTGATGGTTCATACCCTTTGTTGCATGGTGGAGGAATCTTTCAAAGACCGTTGCCTTGCCCCTTTCCTCCTGAGATTCTGATTTAATGGTTCTGGGGTGTAGCCTGGGCATCAGTTTTTTTTTTTTTTTACAGTTCCCCAGGTGGTTCTTAGGTATAGCCAGAGCTGAGAACCACTGGTTTAGGGAATCTCATCCACTCCCATGGCTCTTGCTGTCATCCCTATTCTTTGTTTGGTTTCTGGGCTCCAGTTCAGTAGTCAATTTTGATAAATAGATTAGGCATTATCTTACTTACACTGTCATGGTATCAAGCAGTACAAAACACAACCACAATAATGGTTACTGGCCTTCAAAAGCCATGACAGCAAGCTTCCCTGATGGTGTCTACAGCTTTACAAATGCTGGTTCTTTTCTTAGTGGGCAGGAGGGGGTAGGGGAGCAAGGTCTGAGGGTCACACGGAGGGTATTCTCCAGCCTAGACCTCTCTTCTGAACTCTGGACTTGTATATCTTCCTGCTTACTCAGCATCTCTCTGTGGCTGTCTGAAGCTTCTTGAGGTTGGTGTTTAAAAATCGATTCTTAAGTATCTCCCCTAAACCTAAATTTCTCCCCTCCTGACCTTTTCCATCTGAGTAGAGTGGCTCTGCCATCTACCCATTACTCACACCAAGGAGTCAGTCTTTATTTCTCCAGCTCCTTCGTCTCGTAATCCAGTTTATCAGTAGGTCCTGTTAGCCCGGCCCCTAGCCGTTCTGGATGCTGTTGACTTCTTTCTGTCGCCGCTGCTCTCACCCTAGTTCAAGCCATAGCCTCTCATACCTGACTGACCATAACAGCCTCCCAGACACCTCAGCACTGTCACTCCAGTTCCTTCAGCCTGGGTGACCTTCTAAAAATGTAAATCAGGTGTTGTCCCTCCACTGCTTAAATCCTTCAGGGCTTCCTGTCAACTCAGAATGAAATCAGTCCTTACTCTGGCCCGCAAGGGCCTACAGTTTAGCCATGCCTACATCTCTGAACTAATGTTACTCTACTTTTCCTTCTCAATATGCATAAGCTCTACAGTTTCTTCTTACCTCAAACCTTTTCGCAGACTTTTCCCTCTTCTTGGTACCTCTTGCTCTTTGTACACCTGTTCAAAGAGCACCTTTGTTCTTCCTATTTTTTATTCTTCCTCTGTATAAATATTGCCTCCTTCAAAGAGATCTTTTCTGTCCATTTCACTTAAAATTAGGTTCCCACCCCTCCACCCTCCAGTTTTCCCTATCACAGCAATTTGTTTCCTCAAAAAATGTTTATTGAAGGATGGATGAACTTATATGTAGTAAATACTTACTGTTGTATTATAAATAAGTTCATTTATTCAACAAATACTCATTGCTGGCCTGATGCTGGGAGCAGATGACACATTTTATTCTGTTTTGTCTTAGTGGAGCCCCAACTGGACAGCTCTCTAAAAGTCTTGGCAGGTAGGAGGGAAAAAGAATCACCAACCATAGAATTCTAATGAAGGAAGGCATGTGCTTTTCTTTGTCTCTGCTTAGTTCAGATATAGTTCTACCTGGCAAGACGAGTCTGTCTCAGCCTTCAAGAGACTGTTGAGCATATATCGTGTCATGGTATTTCACAGATATGCATAAGTTATTTAAGTGTAGTGGGGACTTTCTTTTTTTAATTGACCAATTAAAAAATCATCTGTAACACAGAGATCGGACTTGTGGTTGCCAAGGGGGGGGATGGACTGGGAGTTTGGGGTTGGTAGATGCAAACTATTACATTTAGAATGGATAAACAACAAGGTCCTACTGTATAGCACAGGGAACGATATCCAGTCTCCTGGGACAAACCATAGTGGAAAAGAATATAAAAAAAAGAATATATATACATGTATAACTGAGTCACTTTGCTGTACAGCAGAGATTGGCACCGCATTGTAAATCAGCTATACCTCCGTTAAAAAAAATCACCTGGAAAGATTGTTTTACCACTGGGTCCTCTTTCATTTAGGAGAAAGCACTGTATATGGACAAATAATAACTTAAGCAAAAATGGTTGTACTTTCAGTACATAAAGAGAAATAAACCAGAAGTGTGTTTCAGGAAGATAGGAGGCTCCTTAAGAATAGTAGAGACTTAGTCAAGTTTTTGTGATGTGCCTATAGAAATAAGAGTACTTTGAGTCAGATACTCAGTAGCCAAAGAGATGAATACTAAGTGCACATCCATTCCGTTTATTGGCCCTGCATGTTTCCTACCGTAGAGAAAGCATATTCGAAAGCACAGACTTGTCATATGCCAGTGTTCCTGTGTGTATGGGTTGAGTGATAAATTGCAGACTGCACCTGTGGCCCTAGAGGTGTTTGGTGTGGCCAGCCAGAGGGTTTCTGAAATTTGAGTGTGAATGTCTTTTGGCAAGGCTTCGCTCCCCGGTGTGCCGGATTCCCTACCATTCTCTTGCCTTTAGCCCAGCCTGTTCACCCAGTAGTACTAGTTTTGTGGCCCCTCAAGACATTTGGGTTTGAGGTCCCTGCTTCAGACTTCTAGGCTATTGGAATTGCCTGTGGTACGTTACCGAAAATTACCTCAAATGAGATTACCTCTATTTTTGTTTCCTTTTCTGCATCAAATAGGGTCATTCACATGTCAAATTGCAGCTTGCTGCTATGTTTTGTATATCAAACCTCATATGGAATGAAGAGGAAGGTAAGAGATTGGTGAGATTTGTTCTGAAGAAAATTATGGGAAGGAAGGTCTTGCACAGGAAAGGCATCAGGTGCCCCTGAAATCCTGGGTAGAGGCACCACTCACTGGCGGCCCCCAAGCCCCCAACCGTGTCACCTTGGTATGAATGAGAATCCATGGGTCTAGTTAACACTGAGCCCCACCGTGGAGTCAGCACTGTTCCAGATTACTGAACGTGAGGGTGGAGGAGACCGTAGGGAAGTGAGTGACAGTCCTTGTCCTTGAGAGGGCTGAGGAGGAGGATAGTGAGATGCGCTTGAAGATGAGAGGTGAGGGTGGGCAGGAGGGTCGGCCTTTCACTGTGAGCAGGGGCCGCACATAGAAGGACGACAGGCAGATAAGCTTAATGGAGAAGAGGGTGCGTTGGTGAGAAGGGAGAGACACACTGTGCCTGGTGGGGCAGCCAGTCTGCGAGGAGGCCCCTATAGCTCTCCACCTTGACTGTGCATTAGAATCACCCAGGGACTTTTGCACCAGCCAGTTAAATCAGAATCTCTGGGGTGGTCTCCAGACGTAAGTGTTTTTTTTAATTCCCCAGGTGATTCCAATGTACAGCTAAGGTAGTGAACACGTGCGGGAGAGCAGTGGGTCTCAGTGCTGGGTTGGCTGCGTGAGAATCACCTGAGGAACTTTGTAAAATGCAGATGTCTGGGCTCTACCCCTAGAGATTCTGGTTCACTGGGTCTCAAGGAGGTGAATGCATGAGTGAGTCACTGTGGGCTCTTCAGGGGTGGAGGAAAGAATCCAGGAGAATTATCCTCCTTAGCACTGCGTCCAGAACAAAGTGGAAGGAGGAAAAACTGCATTCAGCGTGCAGGCCGAGAGACCAAGTAACAGCCGGGTACCAGGGAAACAAGCTGCCCTGAAGGAGGTCCTAGTCTAGTTGGAAGATAGAACACAGCAGTGCGGAGTTGGAACTGCCACATGCTAAGAGGCAGCCGGAAGTGCTGGGAGGTCCGAGGAGGGTGGAAGAGAATGGACGGGGAAAACAGGACTGGTTTGGGGTAGGAAGAGCTTGGCTAAGTATGTCCAGAAAGAAGTGATGAAGATGGGGCCTGGTGGCAGGGCCTCGTGCCAGGCTGAAGAAGCTGACCTTGACCCTGTGGTCCATGGAGAAATTAATCCAGCAGCAGAACCCAGATGGACTGCGGGAAGGAGGGTCAAGAGGCAGGGAGACCAGTTAGAGCACTGTTGGAGAATCCAAGCATGAGGGGATCTGGCTGCACTGGGGAGAGTGGAGGGCGAGGGGGCGGAAGGGGAGAGGGCAAAGGACACTGGTAAGGCTCCCGATTGTTGGCTGTACATTAAGGAGAGAGCAATTGCCTGGGCCATGTTCCCAGTAACCTGCTAGCTTTCATCTCTCAGGCTCACAAGAACGCCAGGATAAATTACGAGACATGGGCATCGTAGATATTCTGCACAAACTGAGTCAGTCACCAGATTCAAATCTTTGTGACAAGTGAGTATCAAAGCAAAAGGGCCTTGCTTTGGGGTATGTTGCATTCTTTTATGACAGGGTTTGAATTGCTTAGTAAGTCACATAGCCAAACTCAAAATCTTTTAGATTCTTGGATTCCCTTTTTCATCTGTGAGTCAACTGTGTGACATTTGAGTAAGAGATAAACTAATAATTAGCAGATTATTAAAGATTCTCATCTTACTCTGAATTGATACGAGCCCAGGCCACCTTAGTGGGACTCTGGAGAGGATCCAGAGGTTATTCCCTTTCAGTCCCTCGGTCATTAGAATAGAAATGCGTGTGGCCTTTTGGAGAGCAGAAATGAAGGCCAATTATAAAAACATTCATTAGCTCAAAACCTCACTGAGCGCCTGCCTTGTGCCAGCCTGGCCTGGCTGCTGGGGATGCAGCAGTGACCACTAAGGAGTCCCTGTCCTCAGAGAGCTCACCTTTTCTGGGGGAGGCGAGAGTCATAGTCAGAGACCCCTCTAAGCTCAGGATAACCGAGATTGTTTTTCCTGGCTGTGGACCCTTCTTATAACACAGCCTTCGTTTTCCAGCTCACTTTCATTCTCCACGCTCGCGAGCAGGGCTCAGAGTGCTCCATGGTCTGGCTCTGCCTTCCTTGTGCTGCCCCCTCCCCTGTGCCCACCCTGTGCTCCAGCCACACCTGCCCTCTTACAGTATCACACCTTCAGGCATTTACACCTTCTGTTCCATCTGATTTGCCATCCCAGTCCCCTCGCCTCTGAATCCCCATTCATTCAACAAATATGTATATATATTTTAATACCAACCTTACCAGGCACCGTTTCAGGCATAGGCGATATAAGGGTGAATAAAATTGATGACAACCTTGCCCTCATGTAACTTACATTCTAGTACAGAAGACAGATAATAAGCAAATGAATATGTAATATGATAGCAGATAATGAGAGGTACTACGAAGGTATAAGCAAGGGTGAGGGAATGGAAAGTAAGAAAGCTTCTTGTGGTATAGATTAGTCCCAGCCTTTCCGAGGATGTGACATTTGATCAAAGACCTGGGTGAAATGAGAGAGTCTTCCAGGCAGATGCTTAGAATCGTATTCCAGACAGGGGACAGTGGGTTCAAGGCCCTGAGGCAGGAATGCTTGAATGTTCAAGAAACAGCAGGAAGACCAGTGGGGCTGGGGAAAAATGAGCGAGGGGGAGAGTGGTAAGAATTGGACACAGGGAGGCAGTGGGAGCAACTGAAGAGCCTGGTAGACTGTGGCAAGGACTTCGGATTTTATCCGGATTTTAATAGGAAGTCAGTCATTAGAGAGTTTTGAGCGGAAGAGACAGTATCTGATTCAAATTTTTAAAAGATGGCTCTGATGGCTGTGTAGAGAGTGGTCTGTAGTAGGGCAGGAATGGAAGCAGGGAGACCAGCTAAAGGCCGTTACAGTCGTGTTAGATAAGGGATGAGGGTAGTAGTGCTGGGAGTATTGAGAAGTGATTGGATTCAGGATTTAATCTAAAGGTAGAGCCAACAGGTTTGCTCATGGATTTGATGTAGGATGTTAAAGAAAGAGAGGAAAGGGAATTGCCTAGAGTTTTAGCATGAGCAACTGAATAGAGGATTTGCCAAGATGGTCATTTGCCAAGATGGTGAAGAATAGAAGAGAAGTGGGTGAGGGTAGGGAGAATCAAGGGTTCTTGTTTGGTGTGCCAACTTTTGGATGCTATTAGATATCCAAGGGACTCGGGAGAGTGGGGCTGAAGATATGAGTTGGGGTGGTATATAAAGCCCTGGAGCTGGCTGAAGTCACTTAGGGAGAATAAACGAGAGGAGAGAAGACAGGAGGGTTAAGGACCATACTCTGGGACACCCCACCGCCACCTTTAGGGGAAGATGAAGAAGGTCCAGCAAAGCAGCAGGAAGAACAACCGGTGAGGCAGGCAGAGACCCAGGTGCACAGGTGTCCTGAAAGCAAGGGCGGAGAAAGCCTGCACAATGGCCATCCGTCCTTCAAAACTCAAATCAGGTTGTCACCTCCATGGAAAAATCTTGCTGGATCCTTCTGCACCCTGGCTCCCAGGCCTTGCTAAGGACCCCTCTGTGCTCCCGTAGGACACAACACATGGTGTTGTGGCTATCAGCTTGCTTATCTGCTCCACAGAAGGGAAGAGGCACTTGTTTAATTGTTCCTCAAGTGAATGGCTGGGCCAGATGGAGCACAAAGAGCTGGGCCCCTTCCTCCCTGAAGCTTGCCATCCAGTGTGTTAAGGACAAATCCCCGAATAGCTGCAGCCCCCACCCTGCTGCTCAGACGAGTGTTCCATCAAAGGCAAGTCAGGGCCGGCCACATGCTCAAGGTGGGATTTGAGCTGTACCTTGAGGACGGGAACCTTCATGTCTACCTCCACAGCAGTAGTAACAGCTGCTGGCTTAAATGACAGGCTCTGTCAGCCCGTCTCTTCTGGCCGAGAGCCAGACTATTCCCTGGGTTTCTTTTCTTGTGTTTGTGCAGAAATTAAAATAGTTCTGCTTAAAATCATCTCTGGGATGACCTGGAAAGAGGCCTCACCAGCATGAAGTGGGATAGTTTTAAGCCCTGGCCTGCATTTCTTAGACCAATCTGGTACTGTTTCCCCAATTTCTATGGCACATACGTTGTCAGCAGTTCTTAAACCCCATTAAAAGGGTCAGGGTCTGAGCTACTCTACCTCAGTCCATTTAAGGAAAGGTGACCTTGCCTACAAAACCATCCATCTGAAAGACTCCTTAGATATTAATAGATAGCAGAAAGATAATGAGGGCACAGTCTCTGAGGTCCGATATAATCAGATATAGCCAAACCCTTAGAAAGATCCAGAAGGAGTCTGAATTGACGATTTTAAAGAGTAATACAGAATTTCGATCAAGACCCTCATGTGGGCTTTCCCATCATAGTAAAGTCTGTTACCTAAAGCCAACATCTTTCAGATTCTTTGTCTTTAAGGCTTTGTGATCCTTTGACTTTCAGACACTTACAGATGAGGAGCTATTGCTAACTAGGCCTCTCCACCCCAGCCTCAGAGGGCCTCAGGTTTGTGAAGTTATGGTCAATAAGAGGTAGCCTGTGGCATTATTCATAAACTTACTTCCTAACACAACGACCTTGTAGAACCCAACTTGCTCATAACTTGGAGTGGTCTGTATGGAGCTCTCTGTTCTGATGAACTGGACTATTTGCAACTGTCATCTTTACAGAGTCTTAAATAATTGCAAGAATATCCCTTAGCACACCTCTTTTAAAACTGTGGATTGTATCCATTACTGCAGCAAAGAAACTGCGCTTGAGTCCAGCTTATCGCTGCCCAATCTGCTTTGGTATACTTTCATCAGCTAATAGTAACAGAAAAATTTAACGTTTTCTTTCCATAACTTAGAAGGGGATATCATTGCCAAAATCTGACTTCCTAACTTCCACAATTGCAGCCTTTACCAAATCACGATGGGAGAGTAAAGGAGGCCTTCTGAGTCCCAGCTCAAAGGAAGGCACTTTAATAAGGATCAGGATAGGTTAAGGCATTGCCCACATTGCACCTTTTCCTCTCCAGCTAGCTAACTTTTTCCCTAATCACTGTAACAACCCACATCCCACATCAGTCAGTGTTATCAGGCATAATGAGAAGAATGGGATAAAATTGTAACCTCCCTTCCTCAGTTCTGAGGCATTCGAACCACCAGACAGCCTCATCCCAGGAGCTCTTTGCCCCTCCCACGTACCTTCTAATCAGCCCCTACCCACCTCTTCCTGGGTCAGTGTTCCTCTTAGCTTCCCAGAACCCTAAGTGTCCTCCCCAGTGTCCTGCAGCACTAGATAAAACCTTCATGGCAATAGGAGAAAGTCAAGAATCCCAGATCCATCACAACTATATGCCATTGACAAAGGAAGATTATAGAATGTCACTGGGTTGCAGCAGCTATAAGAACAAGAGCAGGACCACAGGAAGAGGATGTAGCCAGCATGGGTTTGACGTGTGTGCTGACCACAGATCTCTGCCCTCTACGGTAGGTGTCCCACTTACCTACCGTAAGTAGGTACCCGATTCCCTTGGGGGACCTACCTTTTTAGACTTTCCTGGCTACCATCTTTGAACCATGGGCTTTTTACCTTAATTACACTTCTGAGATGACGGCTAACAGGAGCTTTGTGATTGCAGGGCAAAGATGGCACTGCAGCAGTACCTGGCGTGATGGGAACGCCCTGGGCGCCTGCGAGCATCCCACATCCTTGTTAAAGGAAGTACAGGAACTAGCCTCATTTGATTCCTTCTATTTGCACAAGTCACCTTGGACTGCAGGGAGCTGTTTTGCAAAAGCAATTTGGTAGGCTTAGATCTCAAATTCACCTTGAGAACATTTTTTTGAGGTAGTAATTTCCTCAGAGGACTGTTGTGTTTTGTTTTGTTTCTTTCTGAGCTACCTGGACTCTTTATTAGAACAATCAATTATTTTCCTTTGGACCTACAATTTTTTGCCTATGCTGCAGCCACTTTGTGAGTGAGAATGGCTGTGTGTGCGTGTGTGTGTGCGTGCGTGTGCGCGTGCGTGCACGTGGGTCAGGATGAATGGACGTGTGTGTGTGAGGGATACCTCAAAGTTTTCTTTTCTTATTTTGTGTGAAAATCTCTTTTCTACAGATTTTCCAGGGTTTAAGCATTGCTTGCTGTATAAAAATCTTTACTGAATTATATACAGTTTGAATGAAATGTTATTTTAAAAACAAAACGATTGTTAAGTGTTCCATAAAGGTTATGTTGGATTTTGGTCAGATGAATATTTGTAAGTAAAAAATATATGCATTTCTGAACCTCAACTTACATAGATTTTCTTTATAAAAAACAAAAAAAGAAAAAAACAAAACGAAAAGGTTGGCTATAGTTGGCCTGAATAACAGGCACGATATATGGTGCTGTGCAAAATAGTAAGCTAGCATCTTATACTGCCGTCAATATCAGCAGGTACAGAGCCTCTTTTCAGCCTAATTCAGTAAGCTCTCAGGCTTCCAAGTCAGATGGACAGGGTGGAGTGGAGTGAGGCGACAAATACACCATAGGTTTTTTGAAACGTCAAAGGGAAGTATAACTACTGATAGTGAAAGCCCAGCCATGACTGGTGGGCTATGCTTGGCAGGAACTGGGCACCGGGAGCCTCCCAACTGCCCTAAATCCTGTCACTGGTATAGCAATATATGGCAGGATTTAGAACCAGTCATGGAACCTTAAGCTCCAACTAAAGTAGGTCATCACTTCGTGGAAACAAAGTCCGATCACCTTGTGCTTCCTGAAACAGCATATATCACTGTGAAACTAAAGAACGTCCTACAGACGCATCTGTAGGAAGAAGCAAAGAACAGGATAGTTTAGAAAGCTGTTTTTCTCTTGGCTATACTCAGCAAATTCTATATACTTGTCACTCAGGACTGCTATTCAGTGTGCTTTTGTAAAATGAGATGGAAATTTTAGTAAGCGTCGCGGCTAAGATTTTTTCCTGCATGAAGCCCAAAGCACTGACGTTTGAGAGAAGGGAAGGGGGTCTCCCCAGGAGGACCGCAGTTGACCGCCTTTTCCAGCCACTACTGCTTAGCCCTTCGGCAGCCCTCAGCTTGGCACACGCTCCAACTTCTGGGTCCGCTTCAAGGTGAACTCAAGGAGGTTGCTCTTGACTGTTTAAAGGTACAACCAGCCTCGCTTTTCCCTTTGCTCTGCGAAGTTCAAAGGCATCGCGGCCAGGAAGCGAGGTCTGCGGCCCAGAAGCTTGCCCTGAGTGCGTGCACCCGACGGGTTCCCCAGCCCACCAGCCGCTCCTGACGGGGCACCCCATCACCAACCTGCTCCTTCCCTGGAAGAGTTAAATATGTTTGATTGCAAATGAATGTTTTTAAAGTGTATTTAATGCCGTTTTTTTCTGTTCTCAACACGACCACCCAAGATTCAAACACAGAGATTTCCAAGTTGTTATTTTTTCAGAACATTACCGATTTAAAAATCTGTCACAACAGGAACTTGGGTTTTGTGCAACCATCAGAGTGCTAATGTGCAGAAGCCAGTTTAAAGAAAATGGAGTGTAGTGGGGGAAAAGCCTTACTTAGGCCCACTCATTGACATTTCTAGTACTGGGAAAATATCCTTGGTTGGCATTTGTAACACTAAACACTATAGAGTTGGTATTTTAAGTACCAGGTAAATATAAATAAACCAATATGAATTGCTGAGACAATCTTGAACCCAGATAGCATTGGAAAGTGGAAAGCCCAATGAAATGACACTTTCACACTTAAACTCTGTGGATAAATCTTGCCTGTGGCTATAAACAGATGGTCAAAGAAAAAGTGCTTTACTATGATTAACTTTTCTGAGTTGAATGAAGGAAAATGTATTTATTAAAACAAAGCTGTTTGCTGCTTTATGCAGGTGCAGTGTTCAGTCAGCAAGGAAGTGGGAGGAATGGGACGTGGTCTTGTGTTTCCACCCAAGTTCTTAACTAAGCTTCTCGCTCTCTCTAATACTGCATTCTGTTTCTCCTTTTGTGCCCTGATTGTAACCCAAAATTTATGAACTAGAAAAGAATGTCCAATTTAATAAGTTGCATTTTTTTCCTTAAGCACTTTATGCAGAACAATACATGTTCTTCTGGTAGTGTTTGGATAATATGATTTTAACACATGCTAATAAAAGCCAAGAAAAAAGCATGGCAACTTCTAAAAAGGAGTCTGTTTTCCAAATACCTAGAACATTAGGAAACATTAGAAGATGATGTGTACTGGCTTTCGGAACCTGAGATTCTTGGTGAATGAGAGGCTGGGAAGTGACTTTGCATTTCAGAGGGGGGGCCAGCGCCCTAGGGTAACTGCAGCTTCCAGGGGCCTCTGCAGCGGTCTGCGGCCCCCTCTTCCTGGTCTTTACAGGCGGCCACTTCCAGCCACCAGGACTCCCCACTCCGTCCTATGCCACTCTTCCCCTGCCACCACCCACTGGACTCAGGCCCAGAGCTTGTCAAATGACCATCTGCACAGACGCCCTGCATTTACTGGGCGCCACCTTCTCTTCCCCGTCTCTGAAGTGTAGGGACGCACCTCCTGTCTCTTGGCCTCACTAGAACCGGAGAGAGAACCAAGGGCGCCTGCCCTAGAGCGTGGGGGGAAGATGGTGAGGCGATTCCCCCGCCACAGGGGAAACTTGGAAGCGAGGCCTGGGAAGGGGGGACTGACCCCAGATCCTGCTGGAGAGCCGACGGGGAGGTTCCGGACACCTTGCCACCTGGGATAGGGGCCGGTGCTTTCCGAGTCCTACTCCTTTGCACTGACCTTCCCTGGTTGCTGGGCAGGGAGGTATGTGTCAGTTCCCAGCACGAGGGAAATTTTGTTCCATGGCCTGGCCTCAGGGAAAGCGGAGGGGACCCCCGCCAAGGCCACATTGGGACCCACCGAGCCACCTTCCTCCCTCTCTCCCTGCAGCCCTGGCTGAGGGGAGGGCCTGAGCTAGTCAAGCCGTGTCCTTCACTTCGTGGGGCTAGGCCTGCCCTCCACCCTGTCAGGCGCTCACACCCAGGAGGAGCCTTAACGCCTAAAATGGCACCCATCCTGCAGGCCCAGGGTCTCTGCCAAGGAGTTCCGTTCTCAGACAGTGAGCAGATATTTCAGCCTTCCTCCAGATGGCTGCCAGCTGGGTGTACCCCCAGCAGTTCATTCAGAGCCACACAGCACTTCTCTTCCTCCCCCTCTGCCCTAGCCCCATTCTTTCCGCCAGGAACCTTCTGGACTCTGAGAAAAGAAGCGCCCTACCGTGCAATAGAAGGAAGGAGCATGTCATCACACCTCCCACCCCAGCCCTATCACCTAGCGTCCCTCCTGCTTTCCCTGTCCCAGCCCTGCCACTCCCAGCCGCTTCCTGGGGAGGCTGAAAGGTCATCACAGACACCAGCACACACGGGCCAGTTCTCCCACCTGCTCTTCTCTGTCCCCTGCTTTCAGAGGCCTTGGTCACTCTGTTTATTACCTCTCATCTCTCCAGTGATGGGAGTTTGGCCTCCCAGCTTCCGGGGAGACTAGATAGCTGTCAGCAGGGTGTACCCCAAGCAGCTCATTCAGAGCCACACAGCACCTGTGGTGTGGAAGAGCAGGCATCGGGCCCTATTGCCAGCTCTGAGGTGAACACAGGCCAACCGAGTCCCCGTCTCGAGGCCACTCACAAAGGGAAGAGCACAGCCCCATGGTGGGCTATCGCCTGGGGACCTGGAACAGTAGATTCAACTCTCCTGACGGATTCTGTCAGGGAGGGCTCCACTGGGTGTTTCTCACAGAGGCCTGTGCTGATGCGCTGAGCACAGTGGGCAGGCATGTTTCCATCTAGAGGTGACACAAGGTCATGGGAAGTGCAGCCACCCACCCGCTGTCACAGACCACCCGGTGTCCCCGCCTTCTGCAGCCTGACTCATCCTGTCGCCGGTGCCAGCACGGAGGGCCTCATGCTACAGGCTGGGGGAAAGAGTAGTGCATCCGTAAAGGACAGTCTTCTGGGAGCTAACTACCCATTTAAAGAGCTTCTTCAAGTCATAAGCACGAAGCCCCCTGGAGAAAACCAGCAGATGAGAAGGAAATCTCTGCCATTTGCCTCGTGGTGTAGAAGAACACAGCCTTTTCCTCGGTCAGAGAGGAAAGAGTATGCCTGGGCTCAGTGAATTGACAGATAAACCGAAGAGCAAGCCGGTGAGAGAGTAGCTGGCATGTTACTATTCACAGGGGTAAAGCTAGTTCCTGAAAACCTCCTGTGTCCCATGGAGGGACAGCTAAACCAGGCAGTAGTGAAAGGGGGCGCCACAACTAGGAGTGCTCAGGTTTTAAAATTAGGCTTTAGCCAAAATCAGAAACCAAAGAAATGGGGGAAGGGGGCATCAAGAAAATTAGATGAACCCTGGTTCCAAATGTAACCCCCAAGCATTGCTTTCTGAACATGCCCTGATTCGTGGAGAAGAATCTGGCATGTTCCAGGACTACCCTTGTGGCCTGGGTGGGCAGCATGAACATTTAAAGCTGATTTATATCTGCCCCCATGTCAGCCCTGAAGTGTCACATTCAATCTTGTTGGACTATTTTCAAGTCCGTCGTTACCAAGTTAAGCTCTAAAATTGTTTCATCCATAACGTAGATTTATTACTGGGAAACACTGTCCTCTGTAACTCAGTATCCCCTGAGATGACACTGTATCACGGCAGAGTTCAAGGACTGATGTCCATTTATTTTCTAAAATCCCAGAGATGGCCAAAAAAAAGTACATGTTCCATATTCGTACTGTTTAATAAGGCAGGAAAGTGGATACTATTATTTTTATTCATGAACGGTAACTAAACCAAAAAAGTATTGGTGCTCAAAAGAGGAAGTTTCGGTTCTGGAGGTTTCCTTACGTGCAGCAGATATGAGTGCACTGGCGCTTCATCTCACGGCCTCGGCCTGGTCGCAGGCCGCCTTGTCCACGTCCTCGGGGGAGTACAGCGCCTCACCGGCGCCCTCTCCTTCGGCCTCGAGGCCTGTGGGACAACAGGCATGCTGTAGGACTTCTTACAGCAGCCCTGTCCCCAAACTGTCCACAAAGGAACAGCGGAAAGGGGAAATCTAAGTACATCACAGACGGTGAAGTTAGGGTGGACGGAGCAGCAGAGAGAGGTCCTAATAGGTGTGTTAGGGACTCGGAAAAAATTAGGAGAGCAAGTGACATTGGTTGAGCACTTGATGTGTGTCAGGCCCCAGGCTAAGAGCTTCACCGTGCTTTGTCTCCTTTCATCTTCACAAGAGCCCTCTGAGGAAGATGATTATTATGGGGCTATAATGGGCCTCTCATTATCTCCATTTCACAAATGAGGAAACTGAGGTCCAAAAAGGGAAGTAACTTTCCCGAGGCTATTCAGCTAACAGATAGTGGAGCCAGGATTCAAACCCAGGATCCTGTCTCCAGGGCCCAGAAGAAGTGCTGGGTACTTGGAAAGCACACTCTGCCCCTGACAACTGAGAAGGCACAACATACATGTCAGACAAAGGGGCAGAACACCACACCCCAACGAGGCTGTGCACTTACTCCCAGGTGTGGTCTAGGCTCAGACCCTTCTGGAATTGTTCCCTTTGTTCATTATCACCTGAGGCCAAAAAGTCAGGCTCACGATCTCCCAACACTCTCCCCGATGGCCCCCCGATGAGTGGTGCCCAGCCAGTTTGCTCTCCTTGCCCATAGTCATACCTACTTGTTTCCAGTCACCCCCCAAAAGGATGAAGATGTCACATGACCCTGGACACATAAGGAAACACGTCGTGGGCTCTCCCTGAGGGCAGGCCCCCAAAGGAAAGCTGGTCCTCGCAGTAACACACCAGAGTGAGAGTTCTTCCCACAGAGGATGGCTTTGGAGAACCATCGCCCGCACTTGGATGTTCAGACTTGGGTCTCTGGTCCACACAGAGCCACACTTCCCAGGATTTCTCAGCTCCCTAAACTCCATCACACTCCCAGCTTGTCCCTCAGTTGGCAGCAGGCAGCAGCAGGATTAAACGAGGGCCAGCAGGGGTCAGCTCCCGCCCTTCCTTTCCTCGCCCTCAAACCACCTATTCTTGCTTGATTGGATTCAAATCTTGAAGAGACCATGACGAACATTTCAAACATTTAGGTAAACCGGCTGGTTAAAACCCAAACATTTAGGCACACGGGGGTTATTACCGTTTCAGATCTGCAGGCAGACTTCTCCCAAGAATGCCTCCCCTCACATCCTTTGCTTTTCCCAGGATGTTCACCCCCTGGCCCCTTCCACCTCACTTCAGGCTCAACCCAGAGACGTGCAACACGGTGACAGGAGCAGCACGGGCCGTGTCTGGTTCTTCCACTCGTGGAGTGGGGTGAGTCACGTGCACTCTGAGCCCCGTGGGTTTCTCACCCAGATGTGGAGGTGGGGATGACCCAGCATGCTTTTCCCAAAATGTGGGCTCTGAGGGATATGAGAGCCATTGCAGCGATGGGCAGAGGGCCCTTCTGTGAAACTCTCTGCTTCTCGGTGACCCCACCAAGGGCTTGATGGGGCACATGGAGCACAGAGAAAGTGAGGGAATAACATCTGGCGTCTGCCATGGAAGTGGGCTTCCAGAAAGTTACATTTTCCGGGTGGTTTCCACAGGAGAATGCAAAGTAACTTTGTAACGAGAGTTTGACTTGAAAGTAAAAATGCAGCCAAAAATCTAATGAAAAAGCAAAACTGTTACTCTGAAAACACGATAGAGCAGGACTTCCGCTAAAGTTATGTAATGGGCCCTGTTTCCCCAGCAGGCCCTTATTAGACGGAAGACTTGGTTACCACATAGTTACTGTCAGTACCCGCCCCCCATCCCCGCTGCAGATTTAATACAGACCAGATCTGCCTGCATGACTTACCCAGAGGGGCTTCCGGAACCTGGTCTGAAAACTTAAAACTGGGGAAGAGCAGTGTCAGTTCCCGGCGGGCGTCTTCCGAGTCCCGGCTTCCATGGACTGCATTAAAGGGCATTTCTGTGCCATACTGAGCCCGGAGACTGGGAGCATGCAAAACGTACAAGAAACGATTGTCTCATTTGAAAAGAAATGTTTTGCTCTCTGGCAACATGGCCACCAGCTACCAATCAGCAGCTGGCATTTCTGTGACATGGCTTTCTCTGCTGGAAACGCCAGGAACAGCAGCAAGGATGATAGTAGCCGCGGTGTTCTGGGAACGTTGCCAGTGCTTAACATACCTGATCTCATTTCATTTGTGCGGCAGCCCTGTGAGGGAGACTCTCATGATCCCCAGTTTGAATATGCATGAGTTATGGTGGGAGCCCAGGAGCTGCTAGTTGATTGCTGTTACTACGGGGGCTAGGCTAGCACCCTGCCGAGGGCTCGGTACAGGCTGGCATAGTTAATCCCCCAAGGTCCCCTAAGATGATAATAATATTGCTAGGACAGTGTTCTAACTTCTCTCTCTCTCTCTTTCTCTTTCTGTCTCTCTTCATCTGAGGCAGGTCCTACCCTATTATAGTTCCCATTTTCCAGATGAGGAAATTAAGGCAGAGGGATTAAAGCATGGATGACCCAGGGTCACACAGTTAGCAAGAGGAAGAAGAGAGATTCTAAGGTCGGTGCTCTGAACCACAACACTGTACAGCCTCCCCCGACAGGTGCTCATATCCCCCTTTTATAGATGAGAGAACTGAGGCTCAGAAAACTTAAGATCTGAACCCTGGGCTGTCTTTCATCAGCCCAGGCTGCCTCCTATATGAATGTTCCCGGCCCCCTACAACTGTTATGTCACAGTAAAAACTGCAGTTACTTAGTCTCTTGCTAATTTCTTTCCTGTTGGTGAGGCCTCTCTCAGCTTCAAAGGCAAGACACAGTGGATTTGGCATTGGCGGTGCCAGGCTAAATATTCACACAGGGCCAGGGAGCAGACGGAGGCAGCCTAGTGCTGTGTGCAGAACAGTGCTCAGGCTCTCGCGGGCCTCAGGACACCTTGGGTAGGGAGTAGGGGATGGGGCTTGAGGAGGCGAGTCTACCCTGCACATTCCTAGGCCTCACCCAGAGTCTCTGACTTGGTAGACCTGGGTGGGGCCCTGGAATCTGCATTTCCTGGGTGAGAGTTGCAGGTGGCTCTGGGACCCCACGACGGGACCCTTTGGCTGCAGAGAGAAGAACAGTGGGGACCCAGCTGCAGCCTTCAGAAGAGGGAAAGAGGCAGCAAGGAGTCACCCAGTGAAGAGCTGGGGACTGGATCAGAGGGAGAGGATGTCAGGGTCTCCTCAAATACATAACAGGGAGGTCAGGGACTCCCCTAATGTATGACAAAGAGGGAGCTTCATGGCCATCGGAGAGCCTCCTGTGTTACCCATGGTTCTGGGCTGAACCTCGAGCAGGGCTCTCAGCTTCCTTGGATGCAGGTTCTGAGATGGATGCGAGGACCGCAGCTGGTGACATCACCTGTCAGGCTGCTCCCTCCTTGCCACATCGGGGTCACAGGGTCCCATGAGGGTTTGCCAGGCGGTGACCACTTCCTCGGTGCCCTCAGTCCTGGTGAGGTTGAGGAGGTGGCTTGGTCCACTGCACATGTGATGTACCAGCTTCTTAAATGCCTCCTGGCACAGGGAGGGAAGACGGTGAGCCGGGGCAGGGGCCCCAGGGCCTGCAGAGGGCCGGAGGGCCCATCCCACACACAGGATGGGAGAGCGTCAGTGAACGGCCTTGCCACCGGCCTGCATGCCCGCGGAGGGCCCCGGGGAGGCGGGGGGCCTAACCACACCCAGATATAAGTTAAAGGCAGGAAGATGAGGCTTCGAGTTGACTCCCTTGGGGTTGAACATGAGATAATAAGTTAGGTGGGAGCATTTAGAAGACCACAAATATGGAAATCATGTGGGTGCTGGATAACCAGGGGATGCGGTTGAGACTGTGCAACCCTTCCCCCTTCTTCAAGTAGCAGTACTCAGGCTTCCTTTGGGGAGAAACCCTTCCCCATTTCACTTGGTCCTAGGCCAGCTGACAACCACAATGCCTATCCACCCCTCCACATACACACCCCCTCACCTGAGAGGTGGAGCCCAGGCTCGCTCACCGATACCCTCCCTCCCAAGTGGGTGAGTCACAAGCAGAAGCAGATGGAAAGTGGTTGGGTCTGAGTCCCCCAACAGCAGAACCCGAAGTGACTGTCCATGAGGTTTCGCTCCCAAGGGCCCTACCCCTGCCTTGGTTCTTCTTCTCCCCACACCTTCTTATGCAACTCCTTCAACTCTCTTCAGTTCTGGGAGTCATGGAGTGTCCCTCCGATAAATTCCTTATTTCATCCCTTAAGTTGGAGCCAGACTCTCATCCTTGCTGCCAAAGAATGTCTCCCTGATGCAGCCCGTAATTATGATTCGGAGACCAAGTTCATGGCTCACTTGCTGTTCATATTCTTGCTGTTCATAATACTCTACTTTCTCCCAAACTAATAGCAATCTATAAACACAATGTTGGAGAAAGAGAAAGAAACGAGAGTGTTTTGGATAAGTGGAAGCCGAGAAGCTGACCTCTCCAGCTCTGTGTTGGTAGAAAAGTCACATTTCTGCTTCTCTCATGGCTCTCTCTTTATTTGTTAAAATGTCAAACCCAGCTTCCTGGATCTGTAGGATATATATATATATATATATTCTAAAAGGGTAAAGCAAGCCCAAATTCACATTTCAATGTGTTGAGACTAAAAGATGACGGCAAAGGCAACATTAAAAGCAGTGGAGACCCTCGTCCTCCAATTCGATTTACAAATTGTAAGTTACTTAAATGGAATTTTAATTAAAACTACTTAGAAGCCTTCTTTCCCCCCGAGGACGCTGCTACACAATGCTCCACCCCTGTTTTTCCACCAGAGGAGACATGAGGATAGTCTGTAAGGTAAGCGTTGTCTCTGTCACCTTCGTGATAATCTCATCCGTCTTCCCATGGACCACCGCATCTGGTTTAATGACTGCCAAGGTGCAGGCCTTCTCTGATGACACTGCAACAAGCTGGCGATGGTGCTGTCAGACGCTGGGCTCTCGGGATCCCCTCCGCAGGGACGTGCAGCCCCGCACACAGCCCCCGGCTTCCCTCCCCTGGCCTCTCGGCTGTGCTTGTGGAGACCTAGACTCTAGTGGATGCAGGGGTCTGGCTCCAGACCCCAACCTTAGCCTGGCTGCAAGGGACAGAGACACATGCAAGGGACATGAACCTGGGAGGGAGGGCGTGGGGAGGGAGGAGAGGATGGGAGATGGGGGAGGAGGTCAAAGACAACTCAGGAACAAAAACCAGAAACAACCAAAAGAGTCGGCTCTTGTCCCTTCCTGTCTGTCACCGTGTCGTGATTCTTGACCTCTAAGTGCTGCCGACCGTGTTCTCCTCTCGGTGTGCCTTTTTGCCTTTCCCGGCGTGTGGTCAGTAGTGGCTGCCCCAGGCCCCGAGTTGGCATGACTGGTCAGGGCCAGCACATTCTACCAAACTGCGCCTTCAGTCTCCTCTGTCTCTGTTCACACTCTCCTGAGAATTGGCCAGCTCATTGCTTGGAGCCCAGGCACCAGTCATAGATCACCAGCCAGTCTACTGGTGGGCCGTGTCCATAGGTCCAAGCAGCGGTGGGGATGAGGAAGGTGCCGCGTGGCCACCGTCCACCGCTCAGGCCCGCAGACGCCGTGGGGAGCCCTGTGTCTGGGCACAGACTCATCCCTGTCAGACTCCCGTTTGTATGGACTTGGCCTTGGTGAGCTACCTACACTCTCCACAGACTCTATATCCCCCCACGGCCTATTTTCTCTTTTCAACTTCTATATCAGTTGTGTTGTAGCATGACAGTATCTGCACCTGAGGAGGGCCTCCTACTTTGAAAAATCTAAAAAATGTGGACTGCCAAGGTGTGAATCATTTTAAGCAAGCCAACTGATTCATTATTCCGTGAACACTATTTCTAACATCCTATGAACACTTGGACTTTAAGGGACTCTTACAATAAATCCCCTTATAAATGGACCGATTCATGAGACCGCCTAGAGGTATAGGGTGAGAAGAGAAGAGACCAGGGCTGGGGCCCTGAGAACTCCAGCCTGAAAAGGGAGCAAAAGAAAAGAAGCCAAGGAAGGGGAGGTGGCGGAGAGGCCAGAGAAAACAAGAAGGAAAACGAGAAAGGTCTCGACATCTCAGACACCAGACGAGAAGAGGGCTTTGAGTAGGAAGACGTTGGGGACATCGGCCAAGCCCACAGAAGGATGCCATAGGCTATGACTGGAAACTGCCCGCTGGATTTGACACCAAGAAGGTCACTGGAGCCTTGGGGAGCGGCAAGGGGGCAGGGGCGGAGGAGAGGGTGGCCCAAGGAGTGTGGACCACGTTCAGGAAGCTAGGCTCGGGGGAGAGGAAGGCTAAGGGCAAGGATAGGCTTTGGGTAGTTTTCTAGGTGGAGAGACCTGATTTGGGAGAAAATAATGGGGAAGGGAAAAAAGAGGTCATCCCAGAAAGAGACAACAAACGTTTCCTGCAGAAGCCAAGTCGCTGATTTCCTTTTCACACTTGGTTTCTTGCTCTCCTAAACTGTGCCTCTTCCCTTGTTAGGATCCAACTCAGAAAGTCCTCGTCATCCACACGTGAATAAGCAGCTTTTCTATTTCAGGGAGTCATCAGAACTTCCTTCTCTCTCCAGCTCGGCTCTTGAGCTGCATCCTGGTCTCCCCTGGTGTCTCAGGGACCGTCAGGAGGCACCTTGCCAACAACAGCCTCTCTAAACTCTGGCTTCTCTTCCCACTGTCAGGTCAAGGTGTTCTTCTCGTATTAAAGGTTCAGGAAGAACAGCAATGCTCAGGAGTGTAAAATCCATGAGTTAATACTTGGGGCATAAGTGGAAGAGGGTGCAGGGCTGTGGGGAGGGAAGGGGTTCAGTACAGCTGACTTTCTGACACTTCAGAAAAAAGGCGAAAGAAGCTCAAACTCTTTAGCTCAAATAAGGACTAAGGGAACACCAGCATCATTACTTTACCTTATTAGCGTCACTCCCTCCATCTTACTAAGGGAGCCTTTCCTGATGCCCAGAAATTGCCATGAAACTCACAGTTGTTATAACTGAACATGATCAGAAAGCTGTGAAATGTGCCCAAGATGCCATTAAAGAGCAGGAGGGACACAACACAGTATGTTTGAAGTCAGGTGATTGGAGACAAAATATTTTATGGGTTATCTTCCCAGAGTTCAGATCGCTCAATAAACTGATTACTCATATATTTTATAGACACATCAGGGACTTCCCCGGTGGTCCAGTGGTTGAGACTCCGTGCTTCCAGCAGAGGGGGCGCAGGTTCGATCCATGGCAGGGGAACTGAGGTCCCACATGACGTGCAGTGAGGCCAAAAAAAATTAAAAAATAAAAAACACACATCAGGGCTTCCTTGGTGGCGCAGTGGTTAAGAATCCGCCTGCCAATGAAGGGGACACGGGTTCGAGCCCTGGTCCGGGAAGATCCCACATGCCGTGGAGCAACTAAGCCCGTGCACCACAACTACTGAGCCTGAGCTCTAGAGCCTGCGAGCCACAACTACTGAGCCCACGTGCCACAACTACTGAAGCCCGCGTGCCTAGAGCCCATGCTCCACAACAAGAGAAGCCACCGCAATGAGAAGCCCGTGCACCACAACGGAGAGTAGCCCCCGCTCGCCACAACTAGAGAAAGCCCGCGCCCAGCAACAAAGACCCAACACAGCCAAAATAAATTAATTAAAACAAAACAAAACACACACACATCAAATCCGAGTCTGCTCTGCCTTCTTGCCATGCTTGTTGGTTCTGTACTCACCCGCATCCTCATCATCACCATCTTCCTTTTTGTGGGAAAAGCATTCATCTTCATCAGAAAGAGCCTCATCTTCAATCTAGTACAAATTGGTCATGGACAGTAAGTAGTTAGCTAATTAAAACTCCACAAAGACCTTCAAAAACCAGCAGAAGCCAAATAGGTAAAGTTCCTAAATGCAGAGCAGAAGAAGAGGGTCAAGATTATCAGCCTTGGGGCTTCCCTGGTGGCGCAGTGGTTGGGAGTCCGCCTGCCGATGCAGGGGACACGGGTTCGTGCCCCGGTCCGGAAAGATCCCACATGCCGCGGAGCGGCTGGGCCCGTGAGCCATGGCCGCTGAGCCTGTGCGTCCGGAGCCTGTGGTCTGCAACGGGAGAGGCCAAAACAGTGAGAGGCCCACGTACCGCAAAA